GATCAAACCTTTATCCCCACCCCTCCCCCACCCAACCCCAACAAACCCAACTTTAACTTATAAATACATATCATGCATGTTTAAAAAAGACAGGTCAATACACAAAATATTATGGATTTATGCATACACACGCGATGTGAGCATGAATAATTGATTCCATAATTTGAATTTGTGGCATATAGGGCCATGTGATGATTCAAGTTTGTGGTCAGCATAAGAGATGGGTGGAGCGATAAATAAGCTTAGGTGGTAAGGCAAGTAAGTGGTGAGCGTAGTATCCCCTTGAGCATGCTCTTTGTATAAGCAAGTAAATAGTGTGAGCTAGAATAAAATATCGTATGTAATAGTGTTGAATCCAATCTAAGCTCTTCCGAACAAGCAAGGAACAATTAAGCGCTTCATACGCAATTAGCTTAAAACATATTCATTATATAGTTGAGCGGAACACACCTCTGTGAAGTTGTCTAGCATCATGTTATATAGGAGCAGAATGAATGACTTAAATGTAAGTTCATCGAAATGAAGATGATTTTATTGTTCTTTCAAGACTCCCGACCCTTCACAATGCATGTTATACATACAAAAAAAACAACTTTTTTTTATTTAAATTTCGTGTCTAATCAAACACTCCGTGCCAAAAGAAAAAGAAATGTAGAAGCATTAGTTTTCTCTTTATGAAACTTTTTTTTTATGTTGTTGTTAAGTTGGAAGGTAGTGTTTGTTATAGGAGAAAGAGAGAGAAAGAAACCAAAAAAGGACAATCATATAGAAGTGGGAATAATCTTAAAGGGTCATGATTCTTTGATTGAACTATGATACAATTTTATAAAAACAATAAATAATATCTACCCCAACATTCTCCTATTGGAAAAATACAAAACCAAACCAACATTCTTTAGAATGTTAATTATTTTGTCTTCAAGTCATTGGATGATAGTGGCATGTTAGATGAATGTTGTTATTGTTTTTTAAAAATAACTTAATTTTGTTGGAGCCTTTTGGCCTTGAAGAAAGAGTTATAAAAAGTGTATTGAATTGAGATAGCAACTATATGTGCATTATCTAATGTGTACAAAAAAATATACACTTAGTTTTACATTTGGGAAGAAAGGAAGCGCAATATATGGGGGGTTTGTCACTTGATTGTGTCCAATTTCTTCTAACATAGAGTGAGAAGTGCTGAAAACTCATGACTTCTTCGTTTTTGTATCGAGGCCTTTTGTCGTGATACTTTAATATTCGTGTCCTAAAATCATTGTCATTATAATATTTTAACTGTCTAATATCACGTGAATTCGTTAGACTCTTTAATCAAAAATAGTGTTTCATAAATTGACATTTCCTCACATATGGAGGAAATATTTATTTTTATTCAATTGAGCACTCCAAATATATAATAAAATATTTTCAGTAACGTTTTAGTAGTAAAACGTTACTGTGATTAACGTATATCAATCTGACGCCATCATCTTTTAAAAAATAAAATATATCTTAAAACGTTACCGTGAAATACGTTTATACTAGTTTTGTAAAATTTTAGAAAAAAACATATTATTTTGGTGAATGACTTTATATAATGGTTTAGTTTGGTTAAAACCTCTATTATCCATAGCTTAAATGCTCCCTTCGTCGGAAGATTAGAACAAAACATACTATCCAATACTGAAACACCAACATAAATATAGGCCTTGTAGCATAATACCAAAGGTATATCTCTTTGTATACTTCGTTAGAAACACTAAATGAAACCACTGAATAATTACTCGAATCCTTGGAATGTTTATCAATATTTATCGAGGAACCACTTTTCAATGCGAGAATTTTTCTAGAACTATCTATGTCGCGGAGAATATGTAGGATCTAATATTCACCAAAAGTTGAATCCCATAAGACCACTTTGATCCGATGAAAGTACAATTGATTCTCCCCTGGAGGGGTTCCATAGCAAATATATGTCGTCTATATTTTCCTTTACCATCATAACAACCAAGCCATCACAAGAGCAAGTGATTGGACACATATATGGTCTAGAGATTAAAGGGAAATCAAGTTTTCTACGATAAATTCAAACAATACATGTGATATTTACCATCTTTAGGGCAACGTCGAGAAATAAGAAGTTTTTGAGAATTTGGGACTTTTTTTGTCGCGATTCATTATAAAGTAAATGTCAGAATTCAATGTTTTCCATGGTTTTGAAAAATACATTTGAATTGAAAGAAAAGAGCGCACACATAGCCATGTTCACAAGTATATTTCGTCAATTGTCATGGACTAGATAAATAGATGATAAATGTTATGTCCAAAACATATATACATGGAAATTAATGCAAGTAAAACAATCGTAGGTAACACACCTGATCAACAATATTCATTTGCTTTCTGTAATTGAAAACGATTTACTTTTGTTGAACTTTGAAAAGTTGTCTATTTGCTAATAATTTCAACTTCTTCTTTGTTGTCATTTTCATAATTGATATGATATGTTTCTAAGTTTTCATCGAAAAAACTTATGATTTTGGATATGCTTGCTAGGGTTTTTTTTCTAGATTTAGGGGGAATTGATTGATTGGGCCGGGTCGGGTCCATCAATTCTATCCCATATGTGAATCATTTACCCATATCTTCCCCTTTTAAATTTGGGAAATTTTGGCATATAGTGACATGAATAAATTTAATTTGGTTTTTTAGCTATAATTTACATATAAACTGTAGCTATTATTTTAATGGTTATAGGAAAGTGTATTTGTATAGTTTGCTATCATTTTAATACAAAATGAAAATTCAAACTTTTAGAAAGATAATGACGATAATTTTGATTGAATAAAGGTAAACAATTCTTTAATTTATGCAACAATATCTCTTTAGACTTTATACGAAATATGATTTTCTTTCCTTAAGTAAATATATGAATTGATTTCTATTTGTTATTGTATAAATAATTATTGATTGATTCAATTCATTGATGACTCTAGTTATGTGAAATGATGATTGTATAAATTAGTTATTTCCGTACATAATTCTATAAACAGATTCTTCAAAGGTGGTTTGTATTTGTATATGTATAAGTCAGTTTTATTTTTGATGAAATTAGTGTTTGTATATGTATAATTGATTGATGATGGCAGTTTATGTGGAATTAGAGTTTGTAGCCATTTACATTTGTAATTGTATAGTAGTGACATGCCTGATTTATATTTGTATATTTTGTATATGTATAATTCACATATTATTTTTTTTGTGAAATTAGTGTTTGTATATGTATAATTGATTACGTGAAATTATTGTCTTTATCAATGAGCTATTTTCATCTGCAATATTATAAAAGAAGTAGTGACAATTGATTTGTACTTAAATATGTTAGTATGTATAATTCACAATTGATTTGTATTTATATATGTGTCATAGTCTTTCAAAGCTATTTTGGATAATTCTTCATCCATAAATTTGATTATCTAATTATAAATCAGAAAAATCACATAAAACTGAAGACATATACAAATCAAAAGGACAAGAATGAAACCACAAAAAAGGAAGAAATGTAACTGCATATTGCCATGAAAATCAGGAAGCGTGATTTGACAAGGAAAAATTGATTTTTAAAATTTTTGAAATCATTTTTTGTTGAGGGATTTAAGGAGAAAATAAGGTAAAGGATTATGAGAAAGCGAAGGGATCATTTGTATATATGGAAAAGGAACAACGACACACACTTATACAAATAAAAGGTAAACCACGTAATTATAACCAAGAATTAGTGGTGAGTGGCAATAAAAATAAACTCAGGCTATAATAACTAACTAACTAGTATAAGTTTGCTTAATCATGTAATTTTCCTTTCAATTTTTCTACACTACAACAATAATATACGTGGTCCAGTCACACAAAATAAAGTTTACGAGGATAGAGTGTGTGTGTATATATATGTGTGCGCGCGCGCGCGTGTCTTATCATTATTTTAAGGAAAAAGTATGTGGCTAAATAAACTTATGAGTACTATTTAATTACTTATTTTATAGTTGCTATAATTACCGCTCGCGACTATCATTAACATTAATTATGTGGGCTGACTGCCATACATACATACATACATATATACATATATATCTATATATATGTGTGTGTGTGTATACACATATATATGTATATACATATATACATATGTATGTATGTATAATACGCCATACTGTACAAATGCACATGTATAATATACAATTATCTAACTGATATACATATAGAATTCACCTCTCTCCCACTCTCTGCCATCTCTTGCTCACTTCTCTCCTCTCTCTCCCAAATCTCACTTTCCATATATACAAATACATATGTATGATATACAATTATCTAACCTATATGCATATACAATTCATCTTTCTCTCACTCTTTTCCCTTTCCCTCGTGCCTTTCTCATCTCTCTCCCAGTCTCGCTCGCCTCTCTCCTCCCTATAACATGTACCTCACGAATTGTAATTATTAAACTATATCTATGGAGAGGAATTAGATTATTTTTAAGTGGCTATATGTGAAAGCTTCTCTTTTATTTTAAAGTATGTGTTTCGACAAATTCTTGAGTTAAAAAAAGTCCAATATAGTATGAAATAAAGTAATAACTGAAGTATAGGAAACATCAAATAATATCGAAAATATAGATAATAACATAATGAAAACTACCAATCGAGATACAAGAAACAATACATAGTAACAAAAATCGAACAACAAAATTGTGCGAGATGTACATACCCCTTTATCTAGGGTCATGTTCTTATTAAGCTAAATATGCATCGTATCGAGCCTCCCTCTTATCCATCCTGCACCAATACGATAAGTGACATTATCGTCCATTTTCCTGATTCTCTCAATAAAATTAAAAATACTTGAATTTCTTTTTCCTAGTAATACCTTTACGTCAAGCCTTATTTCTACATAATTCTCATGCATTACGGCACTTTATTTTCACTCACAATATTTTGTATGGATCATGCTCAGTCTAAGCCCTTTCGACTAATATTTATCTCAAAGTGAACCAAAATTACTTAACAAAAGATTGAAAAGAATCGGACCCAAGGGAGATAGGAGCTTGGGTAACCCGACCCGCATATCTCTCAATCCTTCTGCCATACAAAATGCCCTAAAATTCAAATTGAATTCGGAAATTGCAGAAATTTTTTCAATTGAAGCAGAGTCTTCAAAGCTTAACAAAAGAAGCAAAGAAAACAAAGGCAAAGCTTTTCAATGCGATAATGTTAGCCATAGAGAAGATGCTAACCATGATTTGGGTGAGGCAACAAATAATAATTTGGGTGAGTTTTGAATTCTGGGTCGTGTTGCTTACTTTACTGTTGAGTTTTTGTTGAACTTAGATTCCGGTGTGATGTGATAGGTATCCCGTGGAATTGGTGTACGCCCAAGCTGGCACGAAGGATGCCGTGGTTATCAAAAAAGAATCAATGGAATTATTGATCAGGTGAGTTCAGGGTGTTACTTACAATTGAGTTTAATTAATATTGGTTGGAATTCGATTACATATTTTAGGTCGGTTTGCTATAGCTAAGCGATTCTAGTCCTTTGGATGTCGTAAAATAATGCCCTGTACAATCAAAATGTATGAATTTGAAATAGGAGTTCATTATCCTCAAACCCATAGTTTGTATGGCGTGAAAAAGCCCGAGATCATGTATTATAAAGAAAATGCATTTTTTTTGTTTTGTGCATCTATTTTTGTGTCTCTGTGTGTGTTTATGCACCTCGACTATTTCACCAGCAACATCCTAAGTCTTCTCCCTCTATTTTGCTTTATAACCAATCTTAACTTTTTAATTAAATCAGGAAAGAGCGTTATGGAGCCATCAAATGATAACACAGACCAGATGGATGTTGATTGGGTAAGTTCTGATTTCTTGGCGGTGTTATTTACAATTGAGTATTTTTAATTGTTGTTGGTTGGACTTAGATGCTTGTATGTTAAACATTTTTCCAGGTGATAACCTCCCTTAAGATAAACTTTTTCCAATGAAGATAGTATGGTTACCTAACAACGCCAATTCTATATATTCTTCTTCTTCCCCATTGGAAAAGAATGTGAAATTTATGCTTTTTATTCTTGGTGCGACTGCCAAGAGCCTAGTTTATTTGCTGCTAAATAGTAGATAGAAGAAATAAAACAAATACAGGTGTTCAGCGAATGTGTGATTAATAAATGTAATTATATTTATTTGATGTCGTGTTCATAAACGTCAACTTTCGATACTCTTTCTAAGAGAGTAATATTGTTAATTTTTTGGTTGAATGATCAATCCGTCCCAACCTGTGGCCCGCTTAGAACTGGATTGAACTGCTATATTATAGGTTCTTTAATTAAAAGGGTCAGCCCCTCCTAACCCATTTTAACTCTCTAGCCCGTTAGAGTTGGATTGAGTTGGGTCATCCTATTTTGACAACTCCAATTATACTAAATTTAAATGTTAAAAGTAAATTATATACTACATAAAAGAGAAAAAGTAAATTGCATGTCAAGTATATGAAAAGAATTAGAGGCTAAGAGCAAATTTAGAATGTCGCGTACTAGTTCATTGAACTCAATAACTGTAGCGGGAAATTTTATATTCATGTTAAAAATCGTTGCTTATTTAGAACTCTTTAAATCACAGAATCATTAACATTTGAACTATATAGTCCGGAAGAGACCTGAAAATTGGGAGAATCCAAACCGGCCCATCTATCATTCCCAATTTACCAAACCGCACAATTTTTCTGCTATATTAAAAACTCTAGAATTCAAATTAAAGCCAAATAGATGAAGAGGCAAAGCTTTTCAATTTGGAGGAGGGGAGGCGTCAAATAATGATGGATATTGATCCGGTGAGTTCTGATTTCTTACTTATTTGCTTACTGTTCAGATGTTTTGATTGAAAACAGTCTGAACTGTGAACTGTATGGCCAAAATCCAAATGCTCCTTTCGATGTTGTAAAATGTTATTAGGAGTTCATCATTCTCAAACCTATAGTTTGTATGGCGTGAAAAAACCCGGGATCATATATAATAAAGAAAATGCATCACAATGTCCCTTAACAATATATCATAGTCTGATGTAGGTGCAAGGTTTGCGTACACTTTATCCTCTCGATTTCACACTTTGTGTGATTACATTGGGTATGTGAATTAAAGAAGAGACTGCTCAGGTAATCTACTGAGGATGTTCATAAGTATTTCCTTTGAGTTGCCATGGGTTATCCTTCAAACCCTACGGTATCACACTGCGTAATCCATTGTTGTTATGATGGCCTGGTTGTTATGGAGGTTCGTGATAATTTTGAAGCTAATCACTCCACACTTTTTCTTCTTTTCTCTGTGTTACAACTCTCATATTCTTCTTAGTTTTTGGAGTATAATGTCATCTTTAGCTGGGGGTGGGTGGGGCAAAAAATTAATACCAGCAGATATCTTGGAGTACTTGGCTTGAATGAAACCAGAGATGTTTCAATGGAGAAAAGCAACATATATATCTTTTGTTAAATCTATGTGTTTACATCATTACCATTTCGAAAATAAATAAATAAATACCTATGTGTTTACAGAAAGAATCTATATGCATTGTGTATGGAACACATGTTTCTCAGCTTGTGAAAAAATGTGAGAATTTGAAAAAACTGCATTGCTTTTAATATCATCATATTTGTTTTCTGTTATCGTTGGTTGAGAATGTACAAAAAACTTGATTGTCATTCAATCTCTAAAAGTGCAGTGTTTACTTATGTATGATGCCCTAAGAGTATTCAATTTCATTGCTAAGTAAGAAGTGGTTTAAACCCATTTTCTCTTTTACTTTATTAGATCTTGTCTAGTCTAAGTCTTATGTGGATAGTGCATTCGTTTTAAAGGTATACAAATTTATTGCATCTCAAATACTTTGCATAGTAGTTGAGTCTTTACCATGATGTTTACCTTTTTCAAAGTTCCTTCTGATGCAAGGACAGTTAGCCATAGATCCATCAAAAGCTTCCATTGAGGCATCTCGTGCTACTTAAATTCTTCATTGTCAGAGCCCAGAGTATCAATTCTCCTAACATGCCACGAGGATGTTTGTCAATATTTCTTTAGGAACTACTTTTCAACGCGAAAAACTTTCCAGTATTATCTATGTCACGGAGGATATCTATATCAGGAAGAATATATAGGATCTTATAGTCACCAGAATTTGAGTCATAACACAATCCCATACGACCACTTTGATCTGGTGAAAGTTGTGCATCAGGAAGTATAATTGATTCTCCCGTGGAGGGGTTCCACAACAAATATATGTCGTCTCCGCCCTCAGTATTTTCATTTACCATCATAAGAACCAAGCCATCACAAGAGCAAGTGATTGAACAAATATATGGTCTAGAGATTAAAGGGAAATCAAGTTTTCGCACATTCTCAACTGGTTGATCTGACGATAAATTCAAACAATACATGTTATATTTACTATCTTTAGGACAACATTGCCAAATAAGGAGTTTTTGTGAATTGAGGTCGTTCTTGGCCAGATTGAGATGTTTCTTTTCAAAGTGAGGGCATTGAAATCAATGTTTTTTCCAAGGTTTTGAAATACATTTGAATTGAAAAAGAGTGTGCACGGGTTATCTGGTGAGGATGTCCATATGTTTTTCGTCTAGAAAATGAGTTGTCATGGGCTAGATAAATAGATAATAAAATGTTATCTTCAAAACATATACATAGAAATGTAAAGTAAGTAAAACAATTGTAGGTAACTTACATGATCAACAATATTCATTTGCTTTTCTGTAATTGAAATCGATTTCTTCATCTTCTTTTGTTGAACTTTGAAAATTTTTGAGTTTTCATTGAAAAGACTTGTGATTTTGGATATGCTTGCTAGGGTTTTTTTTTGTTGACTTAGGGAGTGATTGATTGGGCCGGGTTGGGTCCATCTTTCCCTTTTAATTCTTATGACCTATATATCAAACCTCACTTTCGCATAAATCGCATGAATTACGTCACTTCATTTACACTCCAAATATTTTGTAATGATTAAAAAAAAATGTCTAAACCCTTTTAACTCAAAACCTCCAACCTAGTAAAAGAAAGAAAAGAATCGGGCCCAAGGATCTAAGAGCTTGGGTAACCCTACCTACATATATCTCAATCTTTCTTCAATTTAAAACGCCCTACAATTAAAATTGAATTTGGGAATTGTAGAAATTTTTTCAATTGAAGCAGAGAGCCTTCAAAGCTCAACAAAAGAAGCAATCTTTTCACAAAAAAAAGGCAAAGCTTTTCAATAAGAAAATGTTATCAATAGAGAAGATGTGAACCACCATTTGGGGGAGGTAACAAATAATAATTTGGGTGAGTTTTGATTCTGGGTTATGTTGCTTACTTTTCTCTTGTGTTTTTGTTGAACTTAGATTCCAGTGTGATGTGACAGGTATCCCGTGGAATTAGTATACACCAAGCTGGCACACAGGATGCTGCGATTATCAAAAAAGAATTAGTGGAACTATTGATCAGGTGAGTTCAGGGTGTTGCTTACAATTGAGTTTAATTGTTATTGGTTTGAATTTGATTCTATTTTCTAGGTTTGTTTGCTATAGCTAAGCGATTCTAGTCCGAGCTGTATCACGTCAAGGCCAAAGTCCAAATGGTCCTTTGGATGCCTTTAAATAATGCCCCGTACAATCAAAATATATGAATTGAAGTAGGAGTTAATTATCCTCAAACCTATAGTTTTGTTTGGCGTGAAAAGCCTGGGATCATGTATAATAAAGCAAATGCATTCCGATATTCGTTAACACATAGTTAAGGTAGGTGTAAGGTTTGCGTACACTATATCCTCCCTATTAACTTTGTGGGATTGCGCTGAGTATGTTTTTGTTGTATGTGAATCAAAGAAGAGACCACTCGGGTAACCTATTGAGGATGTCCATAAGTATTTCTTATTGGAAGTGAGTTGTCATGGGCTAGATAGAAAAGAAAATGTGACTGTACAATTTCTTAATTGTATTTAAATATTAAACAATTTCATCTAATAGTTTAGAAAAGATAAATCTAGAAAATTTCACGATTTCATCAACTTACTAGCACACTTGCGGCTTACAGAGGATATGACACTAGCTAGGAAGATATGGAGGATGGAGATTAGGGTAGAAGATTTGTAGGTAGTCCAAAGCGTTGTCTAGTTACTTATCTGTGTTGTTATTATTACTTTTCTACTACCGTATTCTTTGACTTTAGTATTACCTATGTTTTCTTTGCTTCGACTTTCATATTATTTGTTGTTGCTATTATTCTCTTCTTCATTGTTTTCAGCATGACTTCTCCGCTGATGTATCTGCTTTACATATTTGATTTTGTTATGCTTTACTTGAGCTTAGGATTTATCGAAAACAACCTATCTACCTTCACAAGGTAGGGGCAACGCTGCGTGCACGCCACCCTCCTCCCTAGACTCACATGTAGGATTACACCGGGTAGTTGATGTTGTTTACTGTTAACTGAGAAATCATAAATTAGAAAATTTCAAGCAGATGAAATTACTTGTCAATTGGCATCGGCCCCATGTAAGAATAATTGGGTGAAGTATTGCCTTAGCTATGATTGTTGTGTCTAGTTTGACAAAATAACTCGGTGAATGCATAAACTGTCATGGATGTAAAAAAGGCATCAATTAGTTTTCTCACATTGTTTTCTAGTGGTTCTATGATGGAAGCTATTGCTGCTTGGTAATGATTTGTCGGCTTTGTGTTTGGATTTCTGTCTCCCTAGAGCACATGTGCTCTAAAATTCCAGGGAATTCTAGTGACCAGACCCGTGAGGAAAAACTGCAGAGATTGTATAAAATACTCATTGTTCCGCTACATATTTTGAGACTGATTGTTCAGCCACATATTTCCACCAGGGTCTAATTTTTTTAACAATAATTTGTGTAAAACGAAAACACAGCAATAAATACCTTTTGGCCATAGCAAATAATCCTAGATACTAAGTTCAACAAACAAATGAAGTAACCTGATCAACAACATCCATCTTACCTGGTACATGTTGCTTGTGGGAGGTGGAAGGTATCCGTGGAATTAGTCGAGGTGCGGAAAAGAAAAAGATGTCCCGGACACCAGGTCATAAAAAAAAATATACATCTTCTTTGAATTCTTCTCATTGCATTTGAAAATTGTGGTCATCCCTAAAAAGACGGTGACACCTGGAAACCCAAGGTAAAAAAACTTGCAGAAAGAAAAATACTGTCGGGAAGTTGATTGGGAGATATTAGTTTCTTTCTTTGTTGGGAATTTTCCTTTTGTCTCATATTTGGAGCTTCTTCTATGTGAATTAACAGTGCACCTCTTGTCAATTTACACAAATGTCCTTCTTTACACCACCATTTATGATGTCATTTTTCGAAGTTGTGCAAATATAGCCCTTAAAAGTTACCTTCCAAATAACATTAGATTTTGTCACCTGTTTGTTCATAAGTTCCCCAATCTTACTGTTAAAATATTAGATTGTCGTTGAACATTTGAATAACTTACAACAAATTTAGACCACAATCTAACATTTTCTCATGCTATTTTCAGTTTGCTCAAAAGGAATCTTACTGTGATATGACAAAGAATCATAAATTGCAATAAATAATAAAAAGTTCATTTCTCAAACAGTTGTCCCTGCAAAATTTCTCCTTTGTCATGATAATTTATTATTCGCATCTTGAAATCATTCGCATTGTAATACTCTTCTTTTTACAATAAAAAGAAGTTTTCTAATTTATAATACTCTAAGGGGTCGTTTGGTTGGGAACAAGTTATCATAGGATTAATTATTCTACCATGTATATGGGATAACTTATCCCATAATTAAGGTTTAAATGGTGGAATAAATAATCCCAGGATTGCCTAATACCTCTAACCAAACTCCGGATAAAATAGTCCTGCATTTTATCCCTGGGATTATTATTATCTTATACTTCACGCCAAATGACGCCTAACTATCTAATAATTGCATTAATTAAACCCGTTAATTAATAATTGAGTTGCACAAATTGTGATAATGAATGAACAAGATGAAAGTTTTTTTAAAAGAAAAAAAAACCCTAGAAAACAAGACTGTGCATCCGATCATTGAGCGACACAGGTAAAGTCTTTCCTTTTATACCACCTGATGTTTCAATTGATTTTTTTTTCAAGCAATTGCAGCTCGATGATAGTACCTGATTAGCAACAAATCCCTAGTCTCCTTCAATAAGACCTTTCTTTTGCAGATTAAAGAAAGATTGAGTTTCTTCAATCAATACTTAGCAATTGAGAAACCAGTAATCACTCCAAAGAAAGATGAGACGGAAAATTAAGAATAAGGGAAAGTTAGCAGATAGTAGTTCTGCTCTAGAGATACAAAAACAGAAGATGAAGTCCATTGCAACTCCAAAGTTAGAGGTTGATCTTTCCAATCAAATTCTTATTAGCAGTGGAATTGATGCAATCCAAAAGTTTAATCAGCTTTCAAAAGGTATCTGTGTTTATGCACCTCGACTATTTCACCAGCTATATCTTAAATCTTCTGTGTGTGTGTGTGTGTGTGTGTTTTTCTTTATAATCAGAGTTAATTTTTTAATTAAATCAGGGAAGAGCGCTGTAGAGCCATCAAATGATAACACAGACCAGATGGATGTTGATGTAAGTTCTGATTTCTGAGTATTTTTAATTGTTGTTGGTTGGTACTTAGATGCTTGGTATGTTTACTTGGTGCCATTGCCAAGAGCCGAGTAATTTCAGTATTCTCCACTTGAAATATTCAATTCTGTATTTGTTGCTAAATAGTAAATAGAAGAAATAAAACAAATTCAGGTTTATCTTTTCTGAATTCTTGGTTCAAATTTCTAATATATATGAATACTTACAAAAAATTGTCTGATCGCTCTTTCTTGTCATATCTAGGCCATGGCAATTCACTTCTCAGAGGTAATACTTATGGACATCCTTAGCAGGTTACCTGTGAAGTCTCTACTTCGATTCAAATGTGTGTCAAAATTTTGGGAAAAATTGATCTCCGATCCATACTTGAAGATGAAGCATCTAAATCGTGCCAAGAATGATCAAGATTCTCAAAAACTTCTTACTAGCCTAAGTTGCCGTAATAATGGTATATGTTCCATGTATTGTTGTCCTTTGTCGCCTGTTCAGCTGGTTGAGGATGTACAAAAACTCGATTTCCCTTCAAACCCTACACCATTCCCATGCACAATCCATTGTTGTTATGATGGATTGGCTGTTATGGAGGTTCCTGGTAATTTGAATGAAGACACCACATTTTTGCTGTGGAACCCCTCCACAAGAGAATCAATTGAACTTCCTTCTCCAGAATTTCGACTGAACAAAAGTTCTTGTTTTGGTTTGGGTTATGACTCAACCAGTGGCAAGTATAAGATTGTTCAGATTTTTCAGCATATGGATTTACCTTGTGAAATTTTTGTACTGAAAGGTGGCTCTTGGAAAAGAAGTGTTAAGCATCCTCATGGCATTTACAGTCTGATGTTTGCTGTGCAGTTTTTGACATTTGCACATGCGGCATTTCATTGGATCGCTATGTCACGAAATCATGCTGTGATGGTTTCGTTTAGTATTTTGAATGAAGTGCATGGAGAGATTCCCTTACCGGAGGAATTTTCAGTCACGGATGTTATTGGTGTTACACTGTTGGATGGAATGCTTTCTCTTCATTCTAATCGTCCTTGTGATCAGAGTAACAGTACTATTAAGTTATGGGTATTGAAAGAGTATGGTATCAAGAAATCTTGGATTCCATTCTTATCTATCGAAGATCCCTATATTGTTTATGCTATACCGAAATATAGGTTTCCGGATGGTGAACTGCTATTCAGGTGCTTTGTTGGGGGTTCATTAAGGACACGTAGTGGACCATTTGGAGCATGGCCCGAAGGTCATACCTTATTAGAGGCACATCCTTTTACAGAAAGCTTGATTTCTCCAAGATCACCAGTTTTTGGAGTACAATGTGATATTTAGCTGGCAGGTCTGGGGGAGGAGAAATTAATACCAGCAGATATCTTGGAGAAAGAAGTGTTCGTCTATCCATTATGTGGAGTACTCGTCTTGAAATAGATCAGATATGTTTTAATGGAGAAATGCAACATGTATATCTTTTGTTAACTCCTAGGTGTTTACAGAAGGAATATATATGCATTCTGTAAGGAATAGAGGTTTCCAAAGCATGTTGATTGTGAGAAATTGATAAGAGTGCATTGCTTATGTTATTAGCAGGAATGACATTTGTTTTTCTAATATTTCCTAGCACAGTAACTGAAATTCTCACAAACGATAATTTGAATGTATGTGTTTTTTATATTTCTTCAAGAGCTCACCGCTCTTGTGAGATAATGATAGCTTCTTGTTGTTGTTAGTTGTTAATTTGGTTGAGATTTTGATGAATTAAAGTAGGTTGGTCGTAATGAAGACCTTAACACCTTATTGATGCTTTTGTTTGAAAGGTATGGTAAGGATGGCATGTATGTTGCTGTACTATTTGACTAGTAGCCTTATTCTATTGAGTTGTCTACCACAAACGCGATGTATTGTTTATCGTTAACACTATTCCTGACTTAGCGGCCTAGAAAAGCATGTTATGATTGTGTATAGGTCGTATGTAATTGCTGCTATTGTTGTGATGTTTTTATTGCCTGGCTGGCTCTGATGAGTTTGTTCTGGAAATCACCAAACATGAACACTACAGAATTTGGAGCCTACCTGATGATGATACCCCATGATTATGAGCCATGCAGACCATCTAAATACATGATAAAGTAAGGATCAACGATCAATATTTTCCAAAATTTTGGAACAAAATTGAACCGAAGAAGAGTAACATGTTGAGGATGTCGATAAGTATTTCGTCTTGCAAGTGAGTTGCCATGGGCTGGATAGAAATGAATATTCACAATTATAAAATTTGAAAAAAAAATGAAACTAGTGAATTGTATTAACATGTTAAAGTTTACCTCATTAGACTTGCTATTTGTATTCTCCATAATTGATATGATAAAGTTTCGACATTTGAGTGAATTTTGGAGATTCTGGCTAGGGTGTTTGCTTCTTAGGGGGTTGACTGATTCTAAAAATGTATTATTTTATTTTTAATTACCTCTCTCCGATATTTCTTCAGCCAATCTTTTCTACCTTTGAAGTCACCTCATAATCAACTCTCACACCTTTGTATTGATCATCCATATATCTCGTTTTTACATTTCTAAATCATATCAGCTTCGCTTCTCACGCATTTTCCTTCGATTTATAAATCGTGCTAGGTTTCGCGATTTAGTCAATTTAGTAGGCGTTTAGCCATGCGATACCATATCACGATATGACATTGTGAGTTGGAATCAATGATTTCATATTGATTCCATGTTGTGAGATTAGATTTCACATTCTCCAAAATCATAATATGAGAATTCCAATCACATTTGAGACTTTTTAAATACAAAAATTGACCAACAAATTTATATTTTGTTCAAACAACACACTGACTTTTAAAGCTTGGAAAAATAGATTTAAAATAGTGAAACAAGACACGAACCATTATGATATTGACACACAAGTGAAAATTATCATAGCTTGTGTAGTATTACATAATTATTTGTAAGAATACTAATGGAGCGATGGTCTATGAGCATGAAAATGTAGTTGTGTATGACAACAAATGGCTCAAATTAATAATATTAGTTCGTTTTTTCGATCGGAGAACATTGTACGTATTTTGTGGGAGGGTTATATTTAACTCTAATTCATTTTAACTTATGTTCAATTTATCTTTTGAATTAAAGTTTGATGAAATAATTATTTAAGTAGGAAGAAATAGTTTGCTAATAATTTATTAAAGACTAGTTCACTACTAAACATACAAAAACTTGAATTTAGAGAGGATAACCCGACCCGCCCATCTGTCATTCCCAAACCGCTCAACCCTTCTGCTATATCAAAAACCCTAGAATTCAAATCGAAGCTCAATAGATGAAGAGGCAAAGCTTTTCAATTTGGGGGAGACGTCAAATAATGATGGATATTGATCCTGTGAGTTGTGATTTCTTACGTATTTACTTACTGTTGAGTTGTTTTTCATTGAAAACAGTCTGAACTATGAACTGTATGGCCAAAATCCAAATGTGAGAATGTATAAAAAACTTGATTTTCATTCAAGCTCTAAAAGTGCAGTGTTTACTTGTGCCATGATAAGAGTATTCAATTTCATTGCTAAGTAAGAAGTGGTTTAAACCCATCTTCTCTTTTACTTTATTAGATCTTGTCTAGTCTAAATCTTATATGGATAGTGCATTGTCGTTTTAAAGGTATAAAATTTTTTTATTACATGTTAAATACTTTGACATATATATATGTGCATAGTAGTTGAGTCTTCACCATGATGTTTATGATGCAAGGACAGTTGGCCGTAGATCCATAAAAAAGCTTCCATTGAGGCATCTCGTGCTATTTAAATTCTTCATTGTTAGAGCCCAAAGTATCAATTTCTCCTAACATGATGCGAGAGATACTTAATACTCATGACTAACTTTTGCATCGCAGCCTGAAATCATTGGCATTATAATACTCTAACTATCTAATATTCACTGGACTCTTCAATTTAATAATTGTGTTGCATAAATTTACATTCCATCAAATATGACAGGATATTTTTATTCTTATTCAATCGAGCATCCAAACACATGATAAAATATTTATCTCTCTTTCTTTTCAGCAGCTAACTAAATTGCTCTTTCACAACAAAGAGTTCATAAGTTGCATTGACAATCATTCTTGGGTAATTCACTTGCATATGATATAATAAAAATAGAACCAACAAAAGTATTTTGAGGTTGTAACATGGTAAATAAAAAATGGCTCGGTCATACATGAACAAACACTAAATAAGTGATTTAGGAGAGATTAAGCTTTGTGTAAAAGTGATCCCATACTGGTGGATATCACACCGAGGCCATAATCCAAATGGTCCATTGCATTTCTTAAATGCATGCCCTTTATATTGATAACTTAAGAACCAGTACAACAGTTCACCTTCCGCAAATCTATATTTTGGTATGGCCATATAACCAATGGAAGGATCTTCGATGTTTAACAATGAAGTCCAATATTCCTTGACACCCTAGTCTTTCAATACCCATAGCTTAAATGTTCCCTTTGTAGGAAGATTAGAAGTAGAATAAGCACAAAGCATACCATCCAATACTGAAACACCAATATAGATGTAGCCCTTCAAGCATAATAATTGCTCAGGCAATGGTATATCTCTGTACACTTCATTAGAAATACTAAATGAAGCCACTGAATAATTTCTTGAATCCTTAGTATATTTCCCAAAAATACCGATCCATTGAAATGCCTCATTTACAAATGGCAAATATTGCATACCCATGTCATAATTGTAAATGCCACGAGGATGTTTGCCAATATTTCTCCAGGAACCAATTTTCAACGCGAGAATTTTTCCAGTATTATCTATGTCACGATAATATCTATATCACGAAGAATATATAGGATCTTATAGTCACCAGAAGTTGAGTCATAACACAATCCCATACGACCACTTTGATCTGGTGAAAGTTGTGCATCAGGAAGTCTAATTGATTCTCCCGTGGAGGGGTTCCATAACAAATATATGTCGTCTCCGCCCTCGGTATTTTCATTTACCATCATAACAACCAAGCCATCACAAGATCAAGTTATTGAACAAATATATGGTCTAGAGATTAAAGAAAATCAAGTTTTCGCACATTCTCAACTGGTTGATTCGACGATAAATTCGAACAATACATGTTATATTTACTATCTTTTGGGAAACATTTCCAAATAAGGAGTTTTTGAGAATTGAGGTCATTCTTGGCGCGATTGAGATGCTTCATTTCTAAGTGAGGCTTGGAAATCAATGTTTCCAAGGTTTTGAAATACATTTTATTGTTCGAATTTATCGTCGGATCAACCAGTTGAGAATGTGCGAAAACTTGATTTTCTTTAATCTCTAGACAATATATTTGTTCAATACATGTTATATTTACTATCTTTTGGGAAACATTTCCAAATAAGGAGTTTTTGAGAATTGAGGTCATTCTTGGCGCGATTGAGATGCTTCATTTCAAAGTGAGGCTTGGAAATCAATGTTTCCAAGGTTTTGAATTACATTTGAATTGAAAAAGAGAGCGCACGGGTAATCTGGTGAGGATGTCCATAAGTATTTTGTCTAGCAAATGAGTTGTCATGGGCTAGATAAATATATAATAAAATGTTATGTTCAAAACATATACATAGAAATGTAAAGTAAGTAAAACAATTGTAGGTAACTCACCTGATCAACAATATTCATTTGCTTTTCTGTAATTGAAATTGATTTCTTCATCTTCTTTTTTTGTTGAACTTTGAAAAGATTTGAGCTTTCACTGAAAAGACTTGTGATTTTGGATATGCTTGCTAGGGTTTTTTTTCTTGACTTAGAGAGATTGATTGATTGGGCCGAGTTGGGTCCATCTCTCTAATCCTTTATGTGAGAGATTTATCTGTATCTTTACTTTTTATTTCTTATGACCTATATATCAAGCCTCACTTTCACATAAATCTCATGAATTACGTTACTTAATTTACACTCCAAATATTTGTAATGATAAAAAAAAGTCTAAACCCTTTTAACTCAAAACCTCCAACCTAGTAAAAGGAAGAAAAGAATCGGACCCAAGGAGCTAAGAGCTTAGGTAACCCGACACGCCTATCTCTCAAGTTGAATTTGGGAATTGTAGAATTTTTTTCAATTAAAGTAGAGAGTCTTCAAAGCTCAACAAAAGAAGCAATCTTTTAACAAAAAAAAAGGCAAAGCTTTTCAATAACAAAATGTTAGCAATAGAGAAGATGTGAACCACAATTTGGGGAGGCAACAAATAATAATTTGGGTGAGTTTGGATTTCTGGGTCGTGTTGCTTACTTTACTGTTGAGTTTTTGTTGAACTTAGATTCTAGTGTGATGTGACAGGTATTCCGTGGAATTAGTATACACCCAAGCTGGCACGCAGGATGCCGCGGTTATCAAAAAAGAATCAGTGGAATTATTGATCAGGTGAGCTCAGGGTGTTACTTACAATTGAGTTTAATTGTTATTGGTTGGAATTTGACTCTATTTTCTAGGTCTGTTTGCTATAGCTAAGCGATTCTAGTCCGAGTTGTATGACGTCAAGGCCAAAGTCCAAATGGTCCTTTGGATGCCCGTAAATAATGCCCCGTACAATCAAAATGTATGAAATTAAATAGTAGTTCATTATCCTTAAACCCGTAGTTATAGTTTGTATGGCGTGAAAGCCCGAGATCATGTATAATGAAGAAAATGCATTCCGATATTCCTTAACACCATAGTCTGAGGTAAGAGTAAGGATTGCGTACACTATATCCTCCCTATTAACTTTGTGGGATTACGCTGAGTATGTTGTTGTTGTATGTGAATCATAGAACCTATTGAGGATGTCCATAAGTATTTCCTATTGGAAATGAGTTGCCATGGGCTTAATAAAAAAGAAAATGTGACCGTACAATTTCTTAAAGGTATTCAAATTTTAAAAAATTTCATCTAATTGTTTAGAAAAGATAAATCTAGAAAATTTCACGATTTCATCAACTTACTAGCACACTTGCGGCTTACCGAGGATACGACACTAGCTAGGAAGATATGGAGGATGGAGATTAGGGTAGAGATTAGTAGGTAGTCGAGCGTTGTCTAGTTACTTATTTGTGTTGTTATTGTTACTTTCCTACTACCGTATTCTTTGACTTTAGTATTACCTATCTTTTCATTGGTTCGACTTTCATATTATTTGTTGTTGCTATTATTTTCTTCTTCACTGTTTTCAGCATGAATTATCCGCTGATGTATTTGCTTCACATATTTGATTTTGTTATGCTTTATTTGAGACGAGGATCTATTGGAAACAACCTATCTACCTTCACAAGGTAAGGGCAAGGTTGCGTGCACCACCCTCCTCCCTACACCCACATGTGGGATTAGATCGGGTATGTTGATGTTGTTACTATTTACTGAGAAATCATAAATTAGAAATTTTCAAGCAGATGAAATTACTTGTCAATTGGCAGCGGCCCCATGTAAGCAATAAATGGGTGAAGTACTTTATGAATTTCCAATTTGTTTGGTGCCTTGGTTGTGGTTGTGGTGTCTAGTTTGACAAAATAACTTAGTGAATACATAAACTGGCATGGTTGTAAAAAAAGGGATCAATTAGTTTTCTCAGATTGTTTTCTAGTGGTTCGATGATCGTCTTGGAGCTTGGAAAAATAAAATTCAAAAAACTGATATTGTAAGCATCTAAGTCAAACCAACAACAATTAAAAATACTCAATTGTAAGTAACACCACCAAGAAATCAGATTTTACCCAATCAACATCCAGCTGGTCTGTGTTATCATTTGACGGCTCCACAATGCTCTTTCCTAATTTAATTAAAAATTAAGGCTGGTTATAAAGCAAAATAGCGAGAGAAGACTTAGGATGTAGCTGGTGAAATAGTCAAGGTGCATAAACACAAACACAAACACAAACACAAAAACAGATGCACAAAACATAAAAATACCTTTGGAGATCTGATTAAGCTTTTGGGTTGCATCAACTCCACTGCTACTAAGATTTTGATTGAAAAGATCAACATCTAACTTTGGAATTGCAATAGATTTCATCTTCTTCTTCTGTTTCTGTATCTCTGGAGCAGAAATACTATCTGCTAGTTTTTCCCTCATTCTTAGTTTTTTGTGTCATCTTTCTTTGGACAGATTAATGGTTTCTCAATTGCTAACTATTGATTGAAGAGACTCAATATTTTATGATTTGCAAAAGAAAATGCTAATTGGAGGAGGGCAGGGAATTTTTTGTTAATCAGGTGCTATTATTGAGTTGCGATTGCTTAAAAAGAATCAATTGAATCTCAGTAAAAGGAAAGAGTGTACCTGCGCCGCTCCATGATCGGATGCGGAAGCTTGTTTTCTGGGGTTTCTTTTTCTATTAAAAAAAGGTTTTAATTTTATTTATTAATCATCACAATTTATGCAACACAATTATTAATTGAAGGGTCTAATTAACGCAAATATCAGATAGTTAGACTATAACAAATTAGGATCTTTTTTTACGGTAAAAAAGAAGAGCATTATAAATAGATGATAACACCTGCAAAACTGAGGTAAAAAAACACAGAAAGAAACAAATACCCTAGAAGTTGAGGAGGAGATACTAATTTCTTTCTTTGTTAGGAATCTTTCTTTGTGTCATATTTGGAGCTTCTTCTATGTGAAGGTGTACCTCTTGTCAATTTACAGAAATATCCTTCTTTACACCACAATTTATGGTGTCTCTATTTTTAGAAGTGCAAATATAACTATTAAAAAGTTACCTTTTAAATAACATTAGATTTTGTCTCATGTTAGTTCAAAAGTTTCCCAATCTAACTGTTAAATTATTACATTGTCATTTTCTAGCATCTTCTCATTCTATTTTCCATTTACTCAAATGGAATCTTTAGATGATGATATGACAAGGAATGATAAATTGCAAGAAATAATAAAGAGGCCATTTATCAAACAGTTGTCCTTGCGAAATTTCTCCTTTTTGTCATGATAATTTATTATTCCCATCCTAAAATCATTGGCATTATAATGCTCTTCTTTTTTACAGTAAAAAGAATTCCTAATTTATTACGATCTAACTATCTAATATTTGTGTTAATTAGGCCCGTCTATTAATAATTGTGTTGCATAAATTGTGATAATGAATAAATAAAACTAAACTTTTTTTCAATAGAAAATGAAAACCTAGAAAACAAGCTTGCGCATCCGATCATGGAGCGGCGCAGGTACACTCTTTCCTTTTATTCCAACTGAGATTCAACTGATTTTTTTCAAACAATCGCAGCTCGTTAATAGCACCTGATTAACAAGATAATCCCTGCCCTCCTCCAATTAGCATTTTCTTTTGCAAATAAAAAAGATTTAGTCTCTTCAATCAATAGTTAACAATTGAGAAACCATTAATTTGTCCAATTAAAGATGACACAAAAAACTAAGAATGAGGGAAAACTAGCATATAGTAGTTCTGCTCCAGCAGAAACAGAAGAAGAAGATAAAATCCATTGCAATTCCAAAGTTAGAGTTTGTTCTTTTCAATCAAAATCTTAGTAGCAGTGGAGTTGATGCAACCCAAAAGCTTAATCAGATCTCCAAAGGTATTTTTATTGTTTTGTGCATCTGTTTTTGTGTTTGTGTGTGTTTATTCAACTCGACTATTTCACCAGCTACATCGTAAGTCTTCTCTCTCTATTTTGCTTTATAACTAGCCTTAATTTTTTCAATTAAATCAGGGAAGAGCGTTGTGGAGCCGTCAACTGATAACACAAACCAGATGGATGTTGATTGGGTCAGTTCTGATTTCTTGGCGGTGTTACTTACAATTGAGTATTTTTAATTGATGTTGGTTGGACTTAGATGCTTGTATGTTAAACATTTTCCCAGGTGATAACCTCCCTAAAGATAGACTTTTTCCAATGAAGATAGTGTGGTTACCTAACAATGCCATTTTTATATATTCTTTCTCTTCCTCATTGGAAAAGAATGTGAAATTTATCTCTTTTTATTCTTATACAATTTTGTTCCTTCACCGATTTATTTTGTCGATTTGGACACCACAACTGTAGTCATGCTTCAAACTTGACAAATTCTTGAAGTACACTGCCCTTTTGTTGTTTACTTGGTGCGACTGCCAAGAGCCTAGTAATTTTAGTATTCTCCACTTGAACTATTTGTTGCTAAATAGTAGATAGAAGAAAGAAAACAAATTCAGGTTTATCTTTTCTGAACTCTTGGTTGAAATGTCTAATATATGAATACTTAAAAACAAAATTGTCTGATCGCTCTTTCTTGTCCTATCTAGGTCATGGCAATTCACTTCCCAGAGGTAATACTTATGGACATCTTTAGCAGGTTACCTGTGAAGTCTCTACTTCGTTTCAAATGTGTGTCAAAATTTTGGGAAACGTTGATCTCCGATCCATACTTTAAGATGAAGCATCTAAATCGTGCCAAGAATGATCAAGATTCTCAAAAACTTCTTACTAGCCTAAGGTGCCGTAATAGTCGTATGTTTTCCATGTATTGTTGTCCTTTGTCGCCGGTTCAGCTGGTTGAGGGTGTACAAAAACTCAATTTCCCTTCAAACTATTCGGTATCGCGCTGCAAAATCCATTGTTGTTATGATGGCTCCGCTGTTATGGAGGTTCCTGGTAATTTGAATGAAGACACCGCATTTTTGCTGTGGAACCCTTCCACTGGAGAATCAATTGTACTTCCTTCTCCAGAATTCCCACCAAACAAAAGTCCTTGTTTTGGTTTGGGATATGACTCAACCAGTGGCGAGTATAAGATTGTTCAGATTTATCAGGGTTTGGATTTACCTTGTGAAATTCTTGCGCTGAAAGGTGGCTCTTGGAGAAGAAGTGATAAGCATCCTCATGGCATATACTGTCTGATGTTTGCTATGCAGTTTTTGACATTTGTACATGCAGCATTTCATTGGATCAGTATGTCACGAAATTATTCTGTGGTGCTTTCGTTTAGTATTTCGAATGAAGCATATGGAGAGATTCCCTTAACGGAGGAAATTTCACGTCCGGGGGCTGTTATTGGCATTACAGTTTTGGATGGAATGCTTTCTGTTCATTCTAATTGTCGTTATGATCAGAGTAACCGTACTATTAAGTTATGGGTATTGAAAGAGTATGGTATCAAGGAAAATCTTGGATTCCATTGTTATCTACCGAAGATCGTTATATTGCTTTTGCTATACCGAAATATAGATTTGCAGATGGCGAAGTGCTATTCAGGTGCACAGTTGTGGGTTCATTAAGGACACGTAGTGGACCATTTGGAGCATGGTCTGAAGGTCATACCTTTATAGAGGCACATGCTTTTACAGAAAGCTTGATTTCTCCAAGGTCACTTGCTTATTAGTTTCTTGTGTGTGATTGAGACTCTCTTTTTCTTCTTTTCTCGTTATGTTACAACTCTCATACTCTTCTCAGTTTATCACCAGTTTTTGGAGTACAATGTCATCTTTAGCTGGCAGGTCTGGGGAGCAAGATATTAGTACCAGCAGATATCTTGGAGAAAGAAGTGTTTGTCTATCCATATGTGGAGTACTCGGCTTGAAATAAACCAGATATGTTTTAATGGAGAAAGAAGTGTTCGTCTATCCATATGTGGAGTACTCGGCTTGAAATAGACCAGATATGTTTTAATGGAGAAAGAAGTGTTCGTCTACATGCAGTGTAAGGAACAGAGGTTTCCAAAGCTTGTTGATTATGAGAAAATTGATAAGAGTGCATTGCTTCTGTTACCAGCAAGAATGACATTTATTTTTCTAATATTCCCTAGCACAGTGACTGAAATTCTCACAAACGATAATTTGAATGTACATCTTGTTATATTACTTCAGGAGCTCACCACTCTTGTGAGATAATGATAGTTTCTTGTTGTTGTTAGTTAATTTGGTTGAGATTTTGATGTTATTTGATGACTTAAAGTAGGTTGGTCGTAATGAAGACCTTTAACACCTTATTGATGCTTTTGTTTGTATGGTATGTTAAGGCTTTCATTCTTCTTTTTGGCATGATCTTAATGGATTAAGCTTCTTATGGCATGTATGTTGCTGTTATTTGACATTTCTAAATCATATCATCAGCTTCACTTCCCACACATTTTCCTCCAATTTATATATCGTGCAAGGTTTCACGATTTAGTCAATTGAGTAGGCGTTTTGTCATGTGATACCATATCACGATATGAAATTGTAAGATAAAATCAACGTTTGGACATACGATTTTCAAGTAGATTCCATGTCATAAGAGGAAATCTCATATCCTCCAAAAATCATGATATGAGAATTTCATATCATGATTTGAGATTTTTTAAATACAAAAATTGATTCACAAATTTATATTTTGTTAAAACAATCCAGAGACTTTTGGAGCTAGGAAAAATAGATTCAAAATATTTGAAACAAGACATAAACCATTATAATATTGACACAAGTGAAAATTATCATAGCTTATATAGTATTACATAAGTATTTGCAAGAATGCGAAATGATTGATGAAGTATGTATGGTCTGGTCTATGAGTATGAAAATATAGTTGCGGATGATATTGATCAACAAATGACTCAAAGTAACAATGTTACTTCGTCTTTTCAGTCACACAATCGAGAAATGCAAGTTCAACGTGAGGAAATTTTTTTTGTTGAATTAAAATTTGATGAAACAGTTATACGTGCGAACAAATAGTTTCGCAATAATTTATTAAAAGACTAGTTCACTACAAACATAATGTTTCATAATAACGATCCGGTGAGTTCTGATTTCTTACTTATTTGGTTACTGTTGAGTTGTTTTTGATTGAAAACAGTCTGAACTGTGAACTGTATGGCCAAAATCCAGATGGTCCTTTTGATGTTATAAAATATTATTAGGAGTTCATCATCCTCAAACCTATAGTTTGTAGGGCGTGAAAAAGCCCGGGATCATATATAATAAAGAAAATGCATTCCAATATTTCTTAACAATATATCATAGTCTGAGATCGGTGTAAGGTCTGTGTACACTTTATCTACGTTTTCTTTGCTTCGGTTTACATACTATTTGTTGTTGTTATTGTTCTCTTCTTCATTATTCTGAGCATGACTTCTTCACTTTACATGTTTGACTTTGTTATGCTTTACTTGAGACGAGAATCCATAAGAAACAACCTATCTACCTTCACAAGGTAAGGGCAAGGGTGTGACACACTAACTTCCTCCGTGAACCCACATGTAGGATTCACCGGGTATGTTGATGTTGTTACTATTTACTGAGAAATAATAAATTAGCAAAATTTCAAGCAGATGAAATTACTTGTCAAATTGGCAGAGAAAATATTCAGTTTTATTCAATTGAGCATCAAAATATATGATAAAATATTTTATCTCTTCTTTTCAACAGCTAATTAAATAAATTGTTGTTTCAATACAAAGAGTCCATAAGTCGCATTTACAATCATTGTGTGGTAATTCACTTGCATAAGATATAGTAAAAATAGACTAATATTAAGTGTCTCGATCATACATAAACAAATACTAAATAAGCGATTTAGGAGAGATTAAGCTATTCGTAATCCAAATGGTCTATTGCATGTCTTATATATGTGCGCATTGTGTTGATAACTTAAGAACTAATTCAACACTTCACCATCCGCAAATCTATATTTTGGTATGGCCATATAACTAATGCAAGGATCTTCGATGTTTGACGATGAGGTCCAATATTTGTGGACACCGTAGTCTTTCAATACCCATAGCTTAAATGTTCCCTTCGATTAGAAGTAGAATAAGCACAAAGCATGTCATTCAATACTGAAACACCACTATAAACATAGCCCTTCAAGCATAATAACTGCTCTTGGCAATGGTATATCTCTATACACTTCATTAGAAATACTAAATGAAACCATTGAAATTATAATTTCTCGAATCGTTAAAATATTCCCCAAAAATACCGATCCAATGAAATGACTCTTTACAAATGGCAAATAATGCATTATTTTAAAAGAGAAAAGGGTCACTTATGCCCTAAATATCCGACCTAATTTTAAAACATATATACGATCGTCTCTTAAATGGTTCAATTATGTCCCTAATTCGACTCATATATGTGTGAATTATTCTGTTATTTACACCATCATCGCCTGCTGCAGCTTGCAGTTGTGACTGTAACGTTGTTGCGGTGAATTCCTCCGCTCTAGCCCTTGCCTGCCAGGTTTGCGCCTCCAGCTCTGTGTTGCACCGAAACGCTTTTCAAACCTCGACTTCCTTTTCCTTCTGTTGTCGTCCCATTGATTCCTCGACGGTTCCAATTAGAGCACGATAGTGTTCGTCTTTTAAATGGTTCAATTATGCCCTAATCCGACCCATATAGGATATTTAAAAAACGGACCGTATGTGTATTTTAAAATTAGGTCGGATAGTTAGGGGCATAAAAGACCCCTTTCTCTTTTAATATAAATGTCAAGTGATAATATATAAAAATGATATGAAAAATCCATTTGGCATTTAAAGAAAAGTAAAACGAGTTGGATATTTCGAGTTGACCAACTAACACCCATAAGGGCATATGTAGACCAAAAGTTGAAAGGTGAGGGTATAAATGGACCAAACTTTAAACGGGGTATATCTAGACCTTTTTGAATAATTTAGGGGCATATTTGACCCTTTTCCCTTGAATATAAATGTCAAGTGATAATACATAAAAATGACGTGGAAAATCCATTTGGCATTTAAATAAAAGTAAAATGAGTCGGATATTTCGAGTTGGCCAACTTACGCCCAAAAGGGCATATGTAGACCAAAAGTTGGACGTCGAGGATATAAATGGACCAAACTTTAAACGTGGGTATATCTAAACCTTTTTGAATAGTTAAGGGGCATATTTGACCCTTTTCCTACAATAAATTAACTGATATTTTTAAAATAAAAAATAGAAATTAATTGTGGCGCTGACACATAAGTGTTATCGTCTCTATTATATATATATATATATATAGATGTTATCGATAAATTCTTGACTAAAAAAAGTCCAATATAGTATGAAAAAAGTAATAACTGAAGTATAGGAAACAACACATAATATAGAAAATAGCAGATAATAACAGAATGAAAACTATTAATCGAGGTACAAGAAACAATATATAGTAAGTAGTTCAGAAGTCCAACGACAAAAAATATATGAATCCTACATGCTCTTTTGTCTAGGGTCATATCCTAATTAAACTAAATATGCATCATATCGAGCTGATAAGACTCCAGATGCAAGCCCCCGTCTCATTCATCCTGCACCAATACAATAAGTAACATTATCGTCAATTTTCCTGATCCTCAATAAAATTAAATTTACTTTGAAATTATTTTTAGTGATACCTTTACATCAAACCTTATTTCTACATAATTCTCATGCATTAAGTCACTTTATTTGCGCTCTAAATATTTTGTATTGATCATGTTCTAAACCCTTTCAAACTCTTAAGATTTATCTCGAACCAAAAAATTTGAAAAGAATCGAATCCAAGGGAGATAAGAGCTTGGGTAACCCGACCCGCCTATCTCTCAATCCTTTTGCAATATAAAAATCCCTGGAATTGAAAATTGAATTTGGGAATTGCAGAAATTTTTTTCAATTGAAGCAGAGAGTCTTCAAAGCTCAACAGAAGATGCAATCTTTTCAAAAAAAAAAAAAGGCAAAGCTTTTCAATAGAGAAGATGCGAACCACATTTGGGTGAGTTTTGGTTTCTGGGTCGTATTGAGTACTTACTGTTGAGTTTTTGTTGAACTTCGATTCCTCTGTGATGTGAAAGGTATCCCCTGGAATTACTGTACGCCCAAACTGGAACGAAGGATGCGGCGGCTATCAAAAAAGAATTAGTGGAATTATTGATCAGGTGAGTTCAGGGTATTACTTACAATTGAGTTTGATTGTTATTGGTTGGAATTAGAATCTATTTTCTAGGTCTATTTACTATAGCTAAGCGATTCTAGTCACCTATAGTTTGTATCGCGTGAAAAAGCCCGGGATCATGTATAATAAAGAAAATGCATTCCGATATTCCTTGACACCATAGTCTGAGGTAGGAGTAAGGTTTGCGTACACTTTATCCTCCCTATTAACTTTGTGGGATTACGTTGGGTATGTTGTTGTTGTATGTGAATCAAAGAAGAGACCACTCGGGTAACCTATTGAGGATGTCCATAATTATTTCCTTTTGGAAGTGAGTTGCCATGGCCTAGATAGAATAGAAAAGAAAATGTGATCGTACAATTTTTTAAAGGTATTCAAATATTAAACAATTTCATCTAAGAGTTTAGAAAAGATAAATGTAGAAAATTTCACGATTTCATCAACTTACTAGCATACTTGCGGCTTACCGAGGATATGACACTAGCTAGGAAGATATGGAGGATGGAGATAGGGTAGAAGATTTGTAGGTAGTCTAGTTACTTATGTGTGTTGTTATTATTACTTTCCTACTACCGTATTCTTTGACTTTAGTATTACCTATGTTTGCTTTGCTTCGGCTTTCATATTATCTGTTGTTGCTATTATTCTCTTTTTCATTTTTTCGGCATGACTTCTCCGTTGATGTATTTGCTTTACATATTTGTTTTTGTTATGCTTTACTTGAGACGATGATCTACTAGAAACAACCTATCTACCTTCACAAGGTGGGCGCAAGGTTGCGTGCACACCACCCTCCTCCCTAGACAAGGATCTTTTGGGATTACACTGGGTATGTCTATGTTGTTACTATTTACTAAAAATCATAAATTAAAAAATTTCCAATTTGTTTGGTGCCTTGGCTATGGTTATGGTGTCTAGTTTGACAAAATAACTCAGTGAATGCATAAACTGGCATGGCTGTAAAAAAATGGATCAATTAGTTTCCTCACATTGTTTTCTAGTGGTTCTATGATCGTTTTGGATCTTGGAAAAATAGATTCAAAATACTGATATTGTAAGCATCTAAGTCCAACCAACAACAATTAAAAATGCTCAATTGTAAGTATCACCGCCAAGAAATCAGAACTTACCCAATCAACATCCATCTAGTTTGTGTTATCATTTGACGGCTCCATAACACTCTTCGCTGATTTAATTAAAAAATTAAGGCTGGTTATAAAGCAAAATAGAGGGAGAAGACTTAGGATGTAGCTGGTGAAATAGTCGTGGTGCATAAACACAAAAACAGATGCACAAAATATAAAAATACCTTTCGTGATCTGATTAAGCTTTTGGGTTGCATCAAATCCACTGCTACTAAGATTTTGATTGAAAAGATCAACCTCTAACTTTGGAATTGCAATGAATTTCATCTTCTTCTTCGTCTTCTTCTATTTCTGTATCTCTGGAGGAAAACTACTATCTGCTAGTTTTCCCTTATTTTTAATTTTTTGTGTCATCTTTCTTTGGACAGATTTGTCAATTGCTAACTATTGAATTGAAGAGACTCAATTTTCTTAATTTGCAAAAGAAAATGGTAATTGGAGGAGGGCAGGGAATTTGTTGTTTATCAGGTGCTATTATTGAGCTGCGATTGCTTGAAACCCTAGAAAACAAGCTTGCGCATCCGATCATGGAGCGGCGAAGATACACTCTTTCCTTTTATCCCAACTGAGATTCAACTGATTTTTTTCAAGCAATCGCAGCTCGATAATAGTACCTGATTAACATGAAATTCCTACCCTCCTCCAATTAGCATCTTGTTTTGCAAATCAAAAAAGATTGAGTCTCTTCAATCAATAGTTAGCAATTGAGAAACCATTAATCTATCCAAAGAAAGATACACAAAAAATTAAGAATGAGGGAAAACAAGCAGATAGTAGTTCTGCTCCAGAGATACTAAAAAAGAAGAAGATGAAATCCATTGCAATTCCAAAGTTAGAGGTTGATTTTCAATCAAAATCTTAGTAGCAGTGGAGTGGATGCAACCCAAAAGCTTAATCAGATCTCCAAAGGTATTTTTTTGTTTTGTGTCTCTGTGTATGTTTATGCACCTCGACTATTTCACCAGCTACATCCTAAGTCTTCTCCCTCTATTTTGCTTTATAACCAGCCTTAATTTTTTAATTAAATCAGGAAAGAGCGTTGTGGAGCCGTCAAATGATAACGCAGACCAGATGGATGTTGATTGGGTAAGTTCTGATTTCTTGGCAGTGTTACTTACAATTGAGTATTTTTAATCGTTGTTGGTTGGACTTAGATGCTTGTATGTTAAACATTTTCCGAGGTGATAACCTCCCTAAAGATAAACTTTTTCCAATGAAGATAGTGTGGTTACCTAACAACGCCAATTCTATATATTCTCTCTCTTCCCCATTGGAAAAGAATGTGAAACTTATGCTTTTTATTCTTGTACCATTTTTATGCCTTCACCGATTTATTTTGTCAAATTGGACACCACAACTATAGTCAAGGCTTCAAACTTGACAAATTCTTGAAGTACACTGCCCTTTTGTAGTTTACTTGGTGCCACTGCCAAGAGCCTAGTGGTTTTAGTATTCTCCACTTGTGAACTATTTGTTGCTAAATAGTAGATAGAAGAAATAAAACAAATTCAGGTTTATATTTTCTGAACTCTTGGTTGAAATGTCTAATATATGAATACTTCAAAAAAAGTGTGATCGATCTTTCTTGTCCTATCTAGGCCATAGCAATTCACTTCCCAGAGGTAATACTTGAGGACATTCTTAGCAGATTACCTGTAAAGTCTCTACTTCGATTCAAATGTGTGTCAAAATTTTGGGAAACGTTGATCTCTGAGCCATACTTTAAGATGAAGCATCTCAGTTGTGCCAAGATTGACCAAGATTCCCGGAAACTTCTTACTATCCAAATGTGCAGTAAGAATCGTATGTTTTCCATGTATTGTTGTCCTTTGTCGCCGATTCAGCTGGTTGAGGATGTACATAAACTCAGTTTCCCTTCAAACCCTACGGTATCACACTGCATAATCCATTGTTGTATGATGGCCTGGCTGTTATGGAGGTTCTTGATACTTTTAAAGCTAATCACTCCACGCTTTTTCTTTGGAATCCCTCCACAAGAGAATCAGCAGTACTTCCTTCTACGAAATTTCAATGGGGGAGCGTTTCTTGTTATGGTTTGGGTTATGACTCAACCAGTGGTGGGTATAAGATCTTTCAGCATTATCAGGGTTGCTCTATTCCTGGTGAAATTCTCACGCTGAAAGGTGGCTCCTGGAGAAGAATTGATGAGCATCCTCGTGGCATTGACAACCGGTTCATTTGCAGGCAGTTTTTGGCATTTGTACATGCGGCATTTCATTGGATCAGTTACTCAGGATATCATGCTGTGGCGGTGTCGTCGTTTAGTATTTCAAATGAAGTGTACGGAGAGATACCGTTCCCGGAGGAAATGTCACCCTTGAAGGCGTTTATTGGCATTACAGAGTTGGAAGGAATGCTTTGTGTTCATTCTAATTCTCTTTTTCCGGGTAAGCGTACTATTAAGTTATGGGTATTGAAAGAGTATGGTATCAAGGAATCTTGGATTCCGTTCTTATCTGTAGAAGATCCTACGAATGCTATTTCTATACCAAAATATAGGTTTGCAGATGGTCAAGTGTTATTCTGGTGCAGTGAAGGGGCTATGTTTAGGACACGTTGTGTAGCATGGCCTCGATGTGATACCATAGTTGATGGACATGCTTTTAGACAAAGCTTGATTCCTCCAATATGTTGTGGACCATTTGGAGCATTGCATCCATGTGATTCCATATGTGATGGACATGTTTTTACAGAAAGCTTGATTTCTCCAAGATCACTTATTTATTAGTTTCTTATGTATGATTGAGGAGCTTTTCTTCTTCGTTTGTTGTCATGTTACAACTCTTGTACTCTTATTTTCACCAGTTTTCGGAGTACAATGTCATATGGAACAGAGGTTTCTCTGCTTGTTGAATGTGAGAATTTGAAAAGATCGCATTGCTTTTAATATTATCATATTTGTTTTCTGTTATCGTTGGTTGAGAATGTACAAAGAACTTGATTGTCATTCAAGCTCTAAAAGTGCAGTGTTTACATTTCATTGCTAAGTAAGAAGTGGTTTAAACCCATCTTCTCTTTTACTTTATTAGATCTTGTCTTAAGTCTTATATGTATAGTGCATTGACTAGACTTGTTGATATCAACCAAAACTATCAGGCTATTACCAGCCAACTTCATGAAAAAATGCCTTTATATCAGAATAGTAAACCATCTTGAGGTGTCAAAATATGTGTGGTAAGCACACCATCCATTGACAGATTTGTACATGATCTACATATGTAGATGTTAGTGACCACATAAACTCAGGTCTTGTGTATTCAAACTAAGCAAGGACATTCAAGTGCGATAACAGGTTAAGGAAATGCAAGTTTCATCTCATTCAGCCGAAATGTCCTGATTCCTCCTGATGGTGTTTTACTGCCACTCTTCAGGATCTCGAAAGCTTGAGTAAGAGACCTAGGTGACTGCCACTATAAAAGCTTCCATCCGCCAGTTACATATTCTATCGTCTCAGCTTGACCAAGAATAGCCATGATTTGAGGGCAACTTCAATGTTTGTTCTGCCCTTTCTTCCACCATCTTCATAATCAGTTTATACCGCCATTTTCCGTTCCACACATCTCCCATCTGTTTATGGACCTTCTTGCAGTATTCCCATCTTCCAAGTCATTCCTTATTCCAAAATCCATTTTTGAAATCAGAAATCCTAAAGGTGATCAAGAAAACATTCAGTTGACTCATGCATTTTGTATTGTTTTAACAGAAGAACACCATTAACATCTGAAAACGAAGTTGGATTTTACCAGTAAAGCATCCCATGAGCCCCGCATATCTGGACTTTGAGTCATTCTTGGACGAGGGCACAGCAGTAGACATTTAAGTTTGTAAGCAAGTCATCAGTAAAGCCTCCCTGAGAAGAAAAGAATAATAATAATAAGCAGGATCATGATGAGATCTCAAAGGTATATGAAATTCTTTTTTGTCGTTTTAAAGGTATACAAAATTTATTACATCTCAAATAAGTACAAATACTTTGACATATATGCAGTAAGGCATAGTAGTTGAGTCTTTACCATGAAGTTTAGCTTTTTCAAAGTTCCTTCTGATGCAAGGACAGTTAGTCATAGATCCATCAAAAGCTTACATTGAAGCTGCTGCTGCATCTCGTGCAATTTAAATTCTTCATTGTTAGAGCTCAAAGTATCAAAGATGCACAGACATCTGGATAAATCAAACGAAGATAGGAGTAAGATATCTAGTTATGCTCATAGAATTTGAATTCTAAGATAGGGAGTGTACCTATTTAAAGGTTGGCACAAAATTTCCATGATTATGTGGGGTGGATTAACTTAGAGAAATAGTCAACAAGCATTTTTAAGAAAGGAAGCAAGACTATAAGACGGATCTTTTAACCTGTTCTTCAATGTTCCATTCAACGCAACATTAGTTAGCTTGTCAACTACGTCTAGTTTAAAAACAACTCTAACAAGAGAAAGGTATCAGACAGTAATATGGAAGTTCTTGTCCAAAGTCTACTCTAACTCAAAATTGACAAAAGCAGAGATATTACTAGTTAAATTAACCACAAAAAGATAGTATATTTGCTCTTACTTGTGTACAAGAACTCGAACTACAATTAAGATGCTCGTACAATTAATCAATTGCTTAACCTTCAACCAGTTTCTTATTTCTTCTTTTTTTTTTGGAGCATAGAAAAGAAGATTACTCTCATCACTTAAGTAAAAGATAATTAAGTTCACTCTTTTACCACTCTCAGCTATAAAAGCTTCATAGCATGGAAACACTGGCGACTTTGGATAAATGTACGACATAGAAAAAGGTTTTGAATACTTTTGCAATAAAGATACACCCATTAAGACATATTGCACCTAAATAACCGATCACGTCTTAAATGAAGAAAAACACCTATTTTACCAAAAAAGGAAGTAAACCAAACAAGTTTAACTATGAAAGGCATATAATTTGTTAATATTGGTCTTCCCATAGAGTACACAATTATTATTTTTTTCAAACCCGTGGTATCCAGGGCCTGCTTGTGCACACCCTTGACTAATTCCATGGGATACCTGTCATCTCACACTAGCAACAGGTTGGTAACTCTATCCACCAAGGCTAGAACAAATGGAAAGTAATCACCTAGTGTATTATTTCTGCTGGGAACTAAACCTGAAACCTCATGGTGATCTCTTCAGTATCACTTTTAAGTTTCCAGTCGATATATTCTCAGAAAGTAGGACACAAACTTTATGAACATGTATGATATGAGAATATATATGGTCATGCATCTAAGTATGATTTTCCTTAAAAGCAAAGGCTATTACGAAGGTAAATAGAAGACACCAGCTAACAAAAAGATACCTGCAGTTTATGTGGCTGGCATGTTGTGAACAATTTCCTTCAAGTCTTTTAAACTGCAACCTGGTGTTCTTTCTATTCCTCTATTCTTCATTTTCTCCTTTGTCTGAGCTACTTCATCCCAACGACCAGCTGCAGCATAGACGTTCACCAGCAATAAATAATGCCAAAAGTTCTCGGGGTCTTGATCAATCAACTTATTCGCAATTTGTTCTCCTAAACTTACATCCCGTCCAAAGCGTGCTGAACCAAGCAATTCAGACCACAATGAGGATTCCAGTGCCAAATTGCTCTCCACTGGTATGTTCTTCAGTGTTTCTATTGCTTCTTGCATTAGGCCAACATTTCCCAAAAGATTAGCCATGCACCAATAATGTGCAAAGCTGGGCTTTATACCAAACACATCACTCATGTTTCCAAAGTGTTTTCGTCCTTCTGTCAACAGTCCTTCACGGGCACAAGCGCATAAGACGCCGACAAATGTGATTTCATCAGGAAGCACACGGCTCTTGACATGATTTTTGTCTGTACTTTCTAATCTATTACTCAGCAAGTCTGAATACAGATTAAGCCCATCTTTTGGGCTTCCATGAATGCAATACCCTAAAATCATTGCATTCCAGCAAACTATGTTCTTGATTGATATCCGATCAAAAATTAAACGACCTATTTCTGCTCTTCCGCATCTACTATACATATGGATTAAAGTCGTACTAATAATCAAATTCAAGTCTTTCGATGCCTTAACAAGACACCCATGAACAGATTTTCCTTCCTTCATTCGAGCTGACCTAGCACAAGCAGTAACAGCAATAACTATAGTTGTATCATTCCCATTCATTCCCCTCTGTACCATTTCTCTAAACAACTTTAGGCACTTCCCAGGGTTATTCGAATTCAAATACCCAGTCATCATGACGTTCCACCCAACTAAATTACACTCTGGCATTGCATCAAACAACTGTCGCGCAACGACTAATTCACCCACTTTTACATATCCATTCATAATGCTGTTCCAAGACACAACATCCCTCTGGTGCATTTCATCGAATACCTTCCTAGCAAGATCAATAAAACCACAACAACTATAAAAATGCACTATAGAGTTCTGCACTTGTAAAACTCCATCAACACCATTTTTCATAACTTGTCCATGACACTTCTGGCCCGAATCCAAACTACCCGTTTTAGCACAAGCACTCATGAGAGGTGGAAACGTAAAACTATTAGGCAAGAATCCATTTTTAAGCCTTTGGTAATAGAAAACTACAGCATTATCAGGCAAAGTACTACAAGCATAAGATTTTATAACAGTATTAACTGAAAAAGTATCAGGAAAATGAATGCACCTAAATACCAATGCAGTATATTCAATATCATCACAATGTTGAGTACAGAGCTTCAAAAATCTGCAAGAATATGAGGGATTTTGAACTTGTAAAAGACCAGTTATTATCAAATGTGCTTGGATTTGAAAGAGCTGAGCTAAACTTTGACATGAATCAAGAAACTCCAAAGCTTTGGATTGATAAGAAGGTGTTAATGAAGAGAATTGGGATTTTTTTGTTAAAGAAAAATAAGGGGTTAAGTGTTTGATGCAGATTCTTGCAGCCATTCATATATCTGTTTCTGGGTTTTGAAGTAATGTTCCAGATTTGAATAAAGAAACGATTTTTCTGCCATTAATGCTGCTCATTGCTGCACATAATGAATATAAATGGACAAATTACTTCTTTCTTTCTTTGTTCATCACTGTTTACTTTGATTTTTGGATCAAAATCAAAGGATTTTAATACCCAAAACTCCAAAAAACGAGAAAGTTGAAAGCTTTGTCAAATTTGGAGGATGAACCAAGAAAGGAAGAACGGCAGGGGATTCACTCTAAACCGTTGTTGGGCTTGAAGGTCAATTTTGGGCTTTGCTATAATCAATTTTGATGGCCCGGCCCATTTTTATGGATCCACAATTTTTTGGTCTTGCTTAATTGAACTTTAATCACTATTGTCTATCACCACGGTCCACGGTACGTTTGGGCGGGGTGGGGGTGGGGCGGTGGCATCATCTATTTACTATTATCACTATCAATTATCATTACGTGAATCACCACCACCAACCAGTATTTCCTATTTGTCAATGTTACTATCAGACCACCACCATCTATCATCATCGTCCACCACAATTATAATCCGTCATCAGTGACTACCATCACATGTATTATTACTCTCAGACATCATTACTACTAACTTAGCTACAGTCATCATCATCAGTCACCTTATAGCATAATATATAAATGTGTCATTTAACTTAATTTTATTTTACGTTTATGTCCTCCAATTTTGGATATGCATAAGTAAATACTTAAACTTGTATAAAGTAAAACAAGTAAAGACATGAGTCCTATATGGAACAATACACGTTAGACAAAAAATGACATGTAGGATTTCATTTAGGACACATGTGTCTATTCGTTCAACTTTATACAAGTTTAAGTGCCTACGCGTGCACATCCAAAGTTGAAGAGCATAAATGTGATTTGAAAACACATTAAAAAGCATATTTATGTATTATACATATATATAATGTTTAAGATTTAACCATCACTATCTATCGCTACCATCACTATCTATCATCATCAATTCATCATCCACCATAATTATAATTTGACATCACCATCACTATATATCACCATAGTTCACATTGTAATTATTACTATCAGACATTATCATCCCTAATTTATCTACAACAATCACTATCGATATTGATCAGAGTTAGTTATCGCGATCACTTACCATCATATTCTAGTTTCATTATTGAGATAGTATTAAGCAATTAATTAGTCAATATTTACGTGCCATATACTTAATTAATTAGATTGTAATGCTTGAAGGAGAATCAACCTATTAGAATAGACAAGGGTAAGACATAGAGAGGGGAATTTTCCACTTTTTTAGCTTTATGTTTTCTTCTCAAGTCGGTGATCTATATGCTTGTAAAGATTATATACCTTAAAGTCTATTGACAATTATGACCCTATACACATTAAATATAAATCATATAACATGTGTTGATACTTGAGGGCGAAATAGACAATTTGTAATATGGTTGCATACATTTTAACTCACTAGCTATTTACACAATCAAATCAAATTAAATCTCATACATTGTAATGAGCATGTCTAGTTCAAGATATTTACATATTCTAATTGTTCTCATCTTCTTCTCAATTATTCCATTCAAATCTGGTAAGAATTATTTATTTATTTTAATCATAGCAAGTATATAGTAGTAGTAGCAATTGTTTTAACTTGTTATAATGGTCAGATCTAACTAAGAATTTAATATAATTTGGCTACAAATTACTTTAAGATCTATTGCCATGTTTTACTTGTCAAGATTTGGTAATTGGATCTAATTCCACATGAAAAAAATACCATTTATCAACTACGTCTTAATTCAGTACAAGTTAGAGTTGACTAATTTTTTGTGTCTATTATATTTTTGGGCTCGGACCTTTGTTTATATAGATAGTTGTTGTTTTTTTTCCTTGTTTAATCATCTGGTATTCAGAATCTATATATCTGGACCAATTTATTTAGGTTTACGTTGAGACAAAGTACTCCTTTATCTAGAAATTTGTTATTTTGAAAGTTTGAATGAACTCGAGATATCCGATTAAATGTAGAGGGACAATTTCATGATTGGTGCATAGCTGATGAACAAACACCAGATGATGAGTTGGTACAAGCCCTCAAATGGGCATGTGAAAATGGAGCAAATTGTACAAAAATACAAGAGAATCAACCATGTTACCTTCCAAATACTGTGAGAGGACATGCCTCTTATGCATTCAATAGTTACTACCAAAACATGAAACAAAAAGGGGCTAGTTGCTACTTCAATTCTGCTGCTATTTTAACTGCCAAAGATCCAAGTAAGTTTCCAAAACAAATTCATTAATTATACACTTTTCGCTTCTTGAGATTTAAATTATAAACTAACATGGAAAAGTCTGTAATTTATACTACTTTTTATATAAATAATCATCCAATTAGTCGAGAATGTGTTTTAATCATGTTAGTTCATTTACTTAGCTTTGTAATATGTATAGTCGACTCCAATTTATTTACGATCAGGGTTAATATAGTGCACTAGTTTCTTTTGTAATATAGAGAATTTAATTGATTATTGATTTTTTTTTTTTTTGTCATTTTCTATTGACAGGCCATGATGCTTGCAAATTTGAGGTTATTCCTTGATCACTCTTGTTTTCCCAGAGTTGAATTAAATTTGTGTTATTTCTTCTTTTGTCTATTTTATATGCTTTAATTTTTTTACTTACATAAACGAATTTTACTTAAATATGTGAGTATCCAATGTCATTCTTAGTTTACCTCTCTCTTATTTTTCATTTTATTTCTTTTCCCAAAATATCAAATTCTAGATTCGTTCTTTATTTGTTATTCATGTAAATAGTCAGTATCTTATGTAGTTAGCTGAAGCGTTTGACAATCACGACAATAAAAAAAAAAAAAAAATTAAAAGAAGGCTTCAAATATGTACGTAACATTGACACCTTCAATTATCCCCAATTTCAAAAGAAAAGATAATCGTTGATGAAAATATTAAATATTCTCAATCTTCAGAACTAGTATTTTATATTTTTTAGAACGGCTAACAACATCATGAATATTTTGAATTGAAGAAATGAAAGAATTGAATGAAATAACAAAGGAATTTTATTAGTTGGACAATCAATAATGTTAATACTATTAATTAAGCTAATGTAGTGTTAACAAAGCTTGTTTTGATACATGACTTAGGCACATTTAACTTTCAAATATGTAATTTTTACGTAATAAAATATTATAATATCCTACTATATAAAATAAAAAATACAAATTTAAGATAACACATAGATAATCAAATGGTTGACTATTTACAAGCAAACGGATTTCAATTTCATATAATTAAAGCTTAAATGTACTTAATCAGATATATAAGATTAAAATGGAAACTTACTACTAATAATGAAGGGACAAAAAGTTGACTACAGTGCAAAGGCTCACGATTAACCTTTGGCTAATTAAATTGAAAGAAATTAGTTTTTATCGATACAAATCAATGTTTAATGCAAAAACTAAATATATTTATACTTAATAAACCTAAATTATATTTTTAAATTTGAACAATAAGGTAATAACAAATATTAACTAAGGAAAGAATAACATAAGAAGATGAGATATTAGAACATAGTAAACGAAGCAACGAATGTGTAACAAACACTATAAAGTTATAACATAATAATATACAAAAACCTTTACTCCGGCAAAACACGTTATAAAACAATGGGGGAACTTTCACATATATCCACTCAAAAATAGTCTAATTACTCTTCATAAGTATAATTTCACAATTACAATTCTTAGCTACATGTTATAGAAAGGAAGAGGTGAGCGAGACTGTGAGAGAGATGAGGAGACTAGAGAGATGGCAAAAAGTGGGAGAGAAGTAGAATTGTATATGTATATTGGTTAGATAATTGTATATTATACATATGTATTTGTAGATATGACAAAGCGAGACTGGAAAAGGGAGGAGAGAAGCAACGAGATTAGGAGAGAGGCGAGCAAGAGAGGGCAGAGAATGGGAGAGAGGTGAATTGTATATGTATATTGGTTAGATAATTATATATTATACATATGCATTTGTAAATAGGGCAACCTTCACATATAGCAAATAAAAAATTCATATTTGTAAGCTATAACAAAGTTTGTATAATTGCGCTCCATAACAAACATAGAAACTGTATAATTCGCTAAACATATACAATTGAAACAAATTGTATAAAACGAAGTGTATAAAACAAGAAAGAGAAAGACACTTGGGCAGAGAACTGTATAAAGACGAAGTGTATAAAACGAATTGTATTATTATAAGTGTATAGAAAGATTATATAAAATTTGAATTAGTATAAAATGAGAAAGAGAGAAAGACAAAAGAGACTTGACAAGGAATATACAATTCGATCGAATTGTATAAAATGAGAAAGAGAGAAATTAGCTACAATTTGAAAATTGTATGAAACGAGAAAGAGAGAAATTAGCTACAATTTGATAATTGTATGAAACGAGAAAGAGAGAAAGACAAAATAAACTGGGTAGGGGAGTATTTTATTGTATAATTATAAGTGTATAGGACGAAAATATATGTACTTGCATGTGTATATACAATTTTCTCTCGCTTTATACAAACAGAAACACAATTTATACATTTCGCTTCTGTTTGTATAAGTGAGAAAGGCGAGGGTGGCGAGCGAGATTTGGGAGAGAGGGGAACAAATATATATATATATATATATATATATATATATATATATATATATATATATATATATATATATATATAATTTTCTCTGTTTTATACAATTAGAAACAATTTTTATACACTTGTATTTGTATAAAAAGTGAGGAAGCGAGCGAGAGATTGGAGGAGAGTGGCGAGCGAGATTTTTGGGAGAGAGGCGCCTGACAAACTTTGGCTAATGTTTGTTATGGAACATAATTAAATCAAACCCTAACTACTCTATTTATTTTAAGTTATTAATTTACTATTATATACAATTTTCCATTATTTGAATTATTCAAATTCACAACATTTATAGTCTAACAAAAGTGACTTAAGAACCGTATGATATAACTGCGTGTATGAACAAAATTTGAGTCTAAAAATGTGGGGATAAAAGCAGAAGATAGAAGCAAAAAAGAGGACCAATTAATATTCATATTCATATCTACAAGTAGTTATTAAATTATTATTTGTTTTATTGATTATTGAATAAGGTAAATGCACATGATATTTGAAATTTCCATTTTGTCTGACATAAATATTT